CAATTAAATAATTTTTTAGATTAGTATTTGTAAAGTAATTGTAAAGTAATCAAATGCTACTTTAAATTTATTATTCGATACTTCATTTAATGATATATTTTTTTAAAATTACATTCGTTTTGTTTTTCTACATGAAGTTGGTAAGATTGAACGATAACGGTAGTGGATACATGCTTAAAAATTTACAGAATAAAGTAAGCGACGATGCGGAAAATTGTACATACTGCTCTAATCTAATGTACATTATGCTCTAATCTTAATTATGCTCTAAACTTAATTTATAGTTTTATAACGAATTTAGAACAAGTGTCTTTGATAACAGGGAAGAGATAACGTATAAAGTATAACATAAAAATTTAATACGCCACGTGACTGTACAGGTTAAGGTGAAAACACTCTAGCCGGTCGGCGGGAGATGAACTTCGCCCTCAGTTTTTATATATCCTTCACATAAAACATGGAATTTGACTTGTTATTCAACTTTATGTCACTATTTACCATCATTTTACTAATATTTGTCACAATTATCACCGTCTTCCAAAAGCTTAAGTAAATATTTCTTTTTTCTCCCCTTCAACAGTTATAATTATATAATATGTTATTTATATTTTAGATTAAGATGGCCTGTTAAAGTAAACTGCTGGTTTTGTAATAAAAATGCAAAGATTTGGCGACAGCAACTAAATTGGTGGATGTGTCCCTATTGTGAACAATATAATGGTTTCTCTAAGGTAAATCATTTTCCTCAATTAATATTCAGTAAAGTACATTATTTAAACATATTTATGATATTGAAAAATCATACTTATGCAACACATCCAAAAATTTTCAGTGAATCAATGAAATTTTGTGTATAATGTCTTTTGATTATTTTACCAGGTTGAATTAATTGATTCATTAAATATTTTTAAAGTTATTGGAATATCTTAACATAGGATTGAAACAGGCTACCTATGCAATATCTTTTAAAATTCCACATGTGTTTTGGAATATTATTCCTATATTTTCTTCCATGTCAAATTTTAGAATGGTGATTACGCATATAGTATACCAGAACAATACAAGACACCTTCACATGAAATGAAAAGATACTGCACAATCAATCAGGGTACAACAATCAATAAAGGTGCAAATAATGGTCTCTGCAAACAATGTAACATGAAAGAGAACTTAAAAGTATCAAAATTATCTAATTATATACCTAAAAATGAAAGAAATTACGAATATGAAATAAAAAAATTTAAAGATAGTTTAGAACAACAATATCCACTATGTGCAAAATGTAAAAGTATAGTAAATAGTGTATTACATAAACAAGCATTGTGGCTTGCACAATATAAAATGTTGTTCTTCAAACAAAAACCATTTTGTGTAATTACTAATGTAAGTATTGTAATAAATAATATAATACAGTAAATAATAAATTTTATCTTTTGCAGAATTCAAAATATTCTGAAGTAGTATGCAGAATAATTTCCACAATATTAGGATCTACAATAGTGTATAACATGGAATTCATATTTTTACCAATTGGAGGATTATTTTTTCAATTTTGTGCCTGTTGGATACTTTCTACAAAAAAACAAAGTTCTGATATATTACTTATGTTTTTATGGATTTGTACGATTATACTTTTACCCTTTAAAGACACAAAATTAATCATAACAGATATGCAGAATTCATGGTTTACTTTAAAATATATAACTCAGTATCATATGGTAAGCTAATAAATTAAAATAAAATGTGTTACATTGAATTTAGTTAAACATCAGTTATTTTTGTTTTAGATAATATTGTTTATTTCAATCATAAGCTTTATAAATGTTATGCCTAAGTCTCATAAAAGTATGGTAAATAAAAATATATCATTCAAGAAAATTGAATCTTCTCCAAAAAATATAGTAATATTTGATGCATGTACAACAACGTCAAATAGTAAGCAGAGTTTTAATGTTAAAACTACCAATAATATAAACAAAACTGTTGTTAATCGATCGACACCAAATACAATGAAAGATTATACACCGCTTTGTACAGAAAATCCAGTAAATTGTAAATCTACAATTTCTCAAAGTTTATTGTAAGTAATTTTAACATTTTTATTTTTTAATGATTTCATATATAATATAACGAAAAATAACTTCTGTTATAGCACAAATCCGGAATCACAGTATTCACCAATGTCTATTAACAATAACAATACAGTATTCAATTCTACACTTGTATGTAAAAAAAATATGGTAGATAATAGTTATTCATTGAATGATAGTCTGAATACACTAAGTATATTATCATTGGGAGAGGATAAACCAAAATATTCAGCTAAAATGCCTAAAATTTTTGAAACGAAAGTATATAGCACAAAAAGTTCCGAACTTTTTAAAAAGGCTGGTAAAAAACATATTTTATCACCACCGAAATTGAAATCAGTTATGCAAACATCCTGGATTGCTGGTGGTTATTGGCAAGAAGGTATAGATATACCCTCATTGTCCAGGTCATCCAGTCAAAGTTCTGGCTTTGGTTCTGTGGGTTCTAATTTTGGCCCATCTAGAGAACCGTCTATACATGAATTTGATCAATGTTCAGTCATGTCAGATGTAACACAATCTTGTTATACACTGAAGCAAAATAATAGTCCTGTTGGATCTTTCTCTCAACAAAATGTTCAATTTCCAATGTCAGAATCAAGAAATCAATCATTTAATAACCAAACAATGAAACTTACATCAACTAATTTTTGTACGCCACAAGCATCATTATCTCAAAATAACAAAAGAAATAATTCAATTTTTATGGATCAGTGTTCATTAAGACAAAACATGAATATCAATGATAGTCCTTCTGAAATGCAAATGTTTCCTAGTCATGCCACTATTGTAACAAATCCTGTTTGGTTACCAGCCCTTTTATGTGGTTCACTTGTGTTGAATATAATAGTGTTATGTACTACTTTATTACGTTAGACTGGGTATACGTTTTTTTCCAATCTTATTGAATTTATATATTTACCATATACATTTGTACGTATTTTAATTATTAGTTACTAGAATAAGTTATTAAATTTTTGCAAACAGTTGATTACTATTTTCCAAATAGTATTTTTAAAATTTCTATTTTAACAAATAGTAATCAGTGATATCTCAATCTGTTGATAAACAAGCGATGTACTGCCAGTATAAACTTTTCTATTATAAAATTTTATCATTTTTAATTTTTTATTCCATACAAATCATTGTAAATAAATATTATTTTTTTTATACGCAACTTGCAAAACATCAAGTTTGAACAATAATATTAAGTTAAGCGCATAATAGGATACTGGTTTTGACAGAAAATTAATCTGACATTTTAAACTGTCAATCTTGTGATAAAAAGAAAATGTTCTCCATGTGTGTTCACTAGTAAGATATATATGTAATTCAACAAGTTTAAGAATTAATGAAATAATGTAAAATTGCATTTACTTTATATTGATAATATTTGATTCTTTAATTTAATTATTATATTTGTGAATACAAAAAAGAACTGTTCTGGAACGGATAAAGTTGTGTATGTATATAATAATGAAATCTAAAGTGTTCTGTGTATTTGTAAAAATATATATAATGTTTATTGTGTTACAATGTGATATTAAAATAACTTAATAAAATAAATATTGTAATATCTTTATTCGAGATATTACATTTTTGTTAAAATTTGTAATAAATTAATTAATGGACAAATATATTTTATATTATTTCTTTCCTATATTTTGTATGACATTGAATTTTTAATTTTCATTGAAAGTGAAGTGTTCAGACTCGGTGATTTGAAACGTGTAAGATCTGGTACATTAAAATTTACTTTTCGTCTGTGAAATCTTCAACGAAGTTAAATATAAATCAAAATATACATCTGATAAAAATTATAATTTAGCTTAAATAATAACTTACTGAGTATTTCGTTCAATATTTAATGGCTGTAATTTTCCAATTTCTTCCCTATAAGTAGACCACCATCGACATTTGGCTATGCCTTCCTCTGAATTCTTGTATAATTCTTCTTTTATTGTATCTTTTAAGCCAAATTGAGTTAATGTACCAAAACTTTTCGTTAAATCCTGTTCAGGAACCCATTTCCTCTGTCTCCAAATATAAAATATGAATTTAATAAAATATCAATGTAATATTAAAATATTTAGATAATTTACTTGTTATTAATATACATACGAAATAATATATACCTTGCATTATAAAATCTAATGTTAGGTTCTTTGAGATCTTTTGGTAAAATGTTATAACACAAATCATAAGTTGTTGTCATGTTACTATAATATTCCATTTTATGATCAAAAAATTGTTCTGGTGGTAAACCCTCATAACGAAATTGTATTTGAAAATATTATTGTAAAATATTAAAAGTCATTTAAAAATATTATGTATAATTTATTTTTTATAATTGACTTTATATCTTTTATGTATGTTTATATACCTCTTGAACAAGTTTATTTTCCCATTTTGCAATTTGATTTATTTTCCAAGTTTTATTAACATGAAGCTTATAATCTAGCTCATATAAAGTTCTCCAATCATCAGGTTGTCTTATATCACTTGCTCTGCGTTCAAACCAATTACCTACCAATGTTTTTGGTGTATATTTGTTTTCACTTAACACTGGTGCACGATCAAGTTTACTTGTAGGAAATAATTTTTTTCGTACATCTGTCAATGACAATGTACTATCTAAACATTGTTGTTTTATATTCCAGTCCATTGCATTCATGGCATTCATGATAGCCATTTTTGAAGAATACTATAAGAAAAAAAAATATATATATACACATAATAATAAAATTCAACTGAACTAACAATAAGTAGTTTACTATTGCTTGAATTGAAGAATAAATTAATACATGTTCATATGAGTTTCATAAGATCAATAAAGCTATAAAATATAAATAAAGCTATAAAATATTTATGATCCTGATATTAAATAAATGCAAATATACATGTAACATAAATTATTTTATTAAATAAATATTGCTATTGAAGAATTATTATTTAAGTAGTATTTTATTAAAAAGTTATGCAACTACTATATATATTTAATATGATTATCATCAATTATATTAATCAAGTAATAATAATTTCTTAAATGTAATTTCAATTAAATGAGAGTGTAATTTAATTGAAAGTGTAACATAATCTATGATACCTCGAAGCTATAGCCTCTCTAAATTCTGCATACAAATTTATCATCTAATTCTAGGAAAACTTAATATTCCTACTTCATTTTTATCTTCAGCTTTGGATGAGGTAGACCTGAATAAACGAGGGCTTTTGAAGAATATTACAACATGTACACAAGACATGCAATGAAAAAAGAATTTATTATTCTTTTTTTTATTATTCTATTTTATAGTAAACCTACTTCGATACTTATAGGTTTCGCTATGCACCATCGAGCATCAGTTATAGATCTCTTTTTTTCAAAACGCCTGTAGTTTTTTTATGACGTAAAGTTTAATTAAATAAGCGCATATAATGGAACATATAATAATTTCTCGAATGACGCATAGTGTAATAAAGCACGTGATACAACTACATGAGTTTATCGCACTTTTTCTGTACATTTTTCGGTATGTTTCTAAAACAATGAAACGAATATCTACATCTGTCAACTTATTTATTTCCTTCACATTCGCATACTTCGTACAGTTTACAAAAAAAACGGCAGCAGTTATAGATCAATCTCCTCATTAACAGTGATCTTTATTTCTTGTTTGAATATACCATTATAAGTTTAACTACTTCTTTTTTTCTTTATTATAATTTTAAATACGTCTGGTGTATTATGAAAATAATAATAACTCTGATTTTCTTTCTGTTCTTTTCCCATGCATACATCGAAGATTTCCGATTAAAAGGACTCCTTCGGATAAGTATCTGATTTTCAAGAAGTTCTTTTTCTTTTGTACAATGAAATTCATCAAACATTTTTCAAGCTCCATTGCCGGTTTTATATATTCGTATAAACGAATCATACGAAATTACAATGTGAAAAAAAAAACATAAACATGTATGTCAATTAGAAAAAGATACGGACAATTTAAATTACTAATACATATGTATGTAACAAACTGATTCGTGTACTCGATTAACTATCATCGTTTTTCATTATTTTTTAATTATAACGAAAATTTGTACAATAAGTACCTTCAAATTTCTTCCTCCGTGTTGAAAAATCAATAATGTCTTTACAATACTCTATAAAAATAAATGTTATTTAGTAAGGAAAAAGTGGTCGATGCCCAAAATTCACAATCAAAGAGTTGGCTCGGCTGATATTTTACTTCACGATTCAGTAGCTTAGGAAAGCAATCGAATCATGAGCGAAAAATTCAGCGAATACATTAATACCTTAGTTGAATAGTAGAATGAAAAATACATTATTGTATGACAATATTTTGACAACTGTTAAGGCTTTGAAACAGTGATATTAAGTGTATTTTGCAATAAATACATATACTTGTAGCCTTTTACGTGTAGGACAATTTACTAAGATTGTTTTGTTAATTAGCCAAATAAATGTAATGGAGTACGATTATATTTTTATATACATTTGACAAGAATATTTCAATAATAATTGCACTCATTATGCACCACGCACTTGTCTTCGCATGTTAGCAAACACAATTTCACCCTCGATATCACAAAAGTTAAAAAACGGAAGATGACAAAAATGATCTTACATGGAAACATGATTTCTTTCATTGTTATCTACAACAACGAGAGACAATGATTTACAAGGAAAATGTTAATCTTTTCTGTCTACATACCATAAAGAATCTGCGCGGAACAAGATGTCAACGTATCACAAACAAATATTTTGTTGCGCACAGTTTACAGAAACCTATCTTAAATTAATATTGTTTAGAATTCTCCTGCTCAATACATCAAGTACGTGTGGCTCGTACATTTTTAAAGAGAAACATAAATAAAACAATTACAAAAAAAGTACATAAAAAGTTTGAAGATTGAAAAGCATTAATTATCGACAAATATGATTAATGAATGAGAGTTTTTTTTTTAAAGATGCATGTGTATAACGTTACGTTCAACGGTTACAATGAAAAATAAAAAGAGATGTGTGAGCGAATTTTCGGGGGTCTGCAACAGGTTTTAGGAACTTAAGCAGACCTGTGCAACAGCTCACAATTAGATGTATAGTATACATCTAGGTAACTTCCGAGCATAAGCTCAACATAGAAGAAACGTAAACTAACACTTTTATCTAAGACAGAAAAAAAACTTCTCTACAGACCAAAATTTCATTGGCCTACAAAACTTTTTAAATGTAATATAAAAGCCTCTGATATAAACAAAAATAAGCGGTAATAAATTAATTTAAATTAGATGAGTATATAAAGATTCATGCAATGAAAACTGTACTATAATAAAATAAATGTGAACGAGGATAGCGATGAAATTCTTCTGTCGAAAATGTTCGTAAAGCCATTGGTTCTTGGACCTCGATAATATTTAGAGTAGCCAACAAACTTAACGCTCTCGGTTAAGCGAGCTCTCTAGATTGGTCCGAAAAAATCTGTTTGAATGTGTTAATAGCAATGAAGAGAATTCTTACAATTATAAATACTTATAAGCCACGATCATTCCTACAATTTTTTCAAAGCCGCATGTCCAATCGCATTTCATGTCAGCGATACCTACCAAATCTTAAATAGTACTGCCTCGTTTATTCGGAAACTTTAATGTCGATAGCAGATTAGTTAAAACTACTGTAGACATATTGATCAAATTACATTAGTATCTCTCAGAAAATTATTTTCTATTCTATAATAATGGAATTCATTTGTCTTTTTAAAGATATAGGATATAAGTATATAAAATTTTGATAGAAATAAATATTGAAACATTCTTCATAAGAGGCCTTTGCGTAATTATTTGATAGACATTCACTTTTATTTATCGTGCATGATATTAAGTTAAATAATTTATAAAAATTAACTATTTACAAATCGATAGGACATGCAGCACTAATTTTATAACTTAATGCACTTATTTGCATTAATAAGCACATGCTTGTTTCGAGACAAATAAAAAGAACTGGCGGTGCTCCGTGTGGATATATTACGTCTATTACCCTTACTATAGTTGTAACATTTATTGGTATCCACTACAAATTAGAGTCTCTGGAACTCTATTGCTTTCATTCATGAAAGCATTCTTGCAATCGTTTTCTGTAAAAGTGAAGGGTTTGGCATTATGCTCACGATCACTGTACGCTGTTACCCATATCTGAATAAAAACATGAAAAAAAAATAAACATCAAACTTACATCAACAAAAACAAACTAAAAATTATAATAAATAAAATCACTTATACCCATTTATTAAAAAAAAAAAATTAAAAATTAAAACTTAATTTTCGTAAGGTTTGTTCGTTTTTTAAAATAATCTTTTATTTATATGAAATTGTACGATTTATATTTAAATAGGTTGACTTTTATAAAGAATCAAACAAACCTACGATTTGAAAGTAAAAATTAAAATTAAAATAAAAAATGTGAAAAAGTTATGCATAAAAAAATAATAACATGTAAATTATTACTCACCACGATTTCCTGTTCTAATAGCAACACTGGTTAAATGGTGCTGACCAGCCCTAATTGGTTTAGCAATTTGCGCACTGGGTCCACGACGAGCCAGATTCTTCTGCCTGACCGCTTCCTTAATTCTATCTACCTCATATTGATAACGTTTACGATCTCGCATTGCACCTTCTTTGGCATCTCGCAATGCAGTTTCCAAAGCTTTTACCCGCTCCATCGTAGCTCGCAATCTCTTTTCAAGTTTGGGCAATTCACATCGAAGATCAGCGTTATCTCTCACAAGTTGCTTATGAACCTATTAAAAATATGGAGATATAACGAAGAATATAATTACAAATGTTGAAACAATTGATAGTTAAATCAAAGAATTTCAATTACTGAATTTCACAGTCATGTACCTTTGTAAGCTGATCCAAGTTATTTTCAAGGAAGGAAATCTTTTGTTTCTGTGTAAGTGATCCGCCATCGTCTTCGTTATCTTCTGCGATCATAGTTTTTTTAATTCTAGTCTGAAGATCTTGGACGAATAATTTACGTAGATTGTGCAACGTTTGAAGTTCTTTGGCTACTGTTTCCTCCAAACCTTTAAGATCTTTTCGTGCCTATAAAAAAATTAATTAGTAGTTACAAAAATTTAGACTTTTAATTGTTTTATATAAAAAAAATTTCTGCGTACTTGTTCACGACGTTCATTAAGCAAGATTAATTCCTGCAACTTAACAGATTTATTTGCTTCTTCTTGTTTCAATCGCTCATAATCGGCTTGCATTTGCTGATGAGCCAATGTGAATTTCTGATTCAAATCTTTAAGTTCACTGATCAATTCTTGCTTCTCAGATAGTTCGTCTCTAAGCGCTGCAACCTATATTCAATTGATAATAATAATATTTAATATTCAATTGATAATAATAATAGTATATAATAATATAAATTATATTTACTTGTCTTTGATGAGCATCTCGCAATTGGTCCATTTGCTCTTCCAGTGCTACTCTCATCTTTGTTGCAGCTTCCTTTTCTTCTGCTTTTTCTTTATTTGTGACTGCTTGTACTTGTTCTGCAGCTTTCAACTTGGCACATTCCTCGCGTAAAGCATCAACATCTTCTTCCAAAGCACGTTTACGTGCTTCTGCCACTTTCATTGATTCTGTTAAAGTTTGCATACGAGCTTCATGTTGAGAAATTAATAAACGACATTCAGCCAGGTCTTTTTCATATTCAGCAACCTAAATATAAGTAATAGGAGAATCGGTAATGTAAAAATCAAATGCAATGAATACGAAGAGTATAAAATCGAATGCTTACTTTCTTGTTACAGTCTAATTGAGAACTTTCTAATCCTTGGCATCGTTGTACTAAATTCTTCACCTCTGATTTCATTTTGCTAATAAATAGCCTTGCCACTGTAAATTCTTCTTCAAGTTTACCATTGCTTTCCGTAGGTGCAACCTATAAAGTAACATTTAGAACGTTTTATGTAATTGCAGTATACAAAATTTTTTTAAATGATATAACAGATTTTACCTTTAGATTTTCGTCACCACCAATAGCAACTCCAATTTCACCTAAATCTTTTAAAAAGTTTGCTAACATTTCCGCAATACGTTTCCTCTGATGGGCGGACATATCTCGCAATTGTTGTAATTCTGAAGCAGTACTGTTTAGTGTTGTTTGTTTTGCTAAAAGTTCTTCTGTCAAAGTTTCCGTTTCTTTCTTCTTAATATCACACTGTAAGAATGCAATATAATAATATTCTTATATTTTTCAGTAGAAATAACAATTAAAAGAAATTAACTATTGATACAAGAATACCTCTTGACATTTTTGGTCATAATTAACTGCTAATTCTTCTAACGCTTGTAAAACTTCTTTAACTTCCTCTTTAGCCCTTTCATGTTCCTGTTGTGTTCGATTCACTTCTTGTTGGAGTTTTTCATATTCACGTCTTGCGGTAGCGATTAATTCTGCTTGTTCATGAATTTGTTCTTTCAAGTTTTCAACATATTGCGATTGTTGATTAATCTCTTCATCCTTGTCATCCAACTGTTGGTAAAGTCTTTCACGTTCCTCTTCCAATTTTTGTCGTTCTTCATTAGATAAAGATCCAGCCATTAAATTGCCACCAGGAGTGGCCGGCATTGGACCATCGTCAAGTTTACCTGTGGAAAATATTATAAATATAACACATGTCACATTTTTTATAAAATAAACTTGTATAGTACCTTCAATAGACATATTAATTGGTGTCGTAACATCTAGTCCTTCAACTAAATTAACTTGTTCTTCAGGTTTAACCGTTTCACCTTGTCGCCAACGTGATAATTCAGCCTCTAATTTCTCCACTTTTCCTTTCAATCTAGCTGCTTTTTCTTTTTCTCTCTCATAACGACGCTTCCATTCTTCAGCCGTTAATTCTTCATTAACACATACAACATTCTTGATAGTTTTAGCTCGTTTACCTAAAGAAATGAGTAAATATATAATCGAGAAATTTTATACGTTTTATCTAGAAAAAATTAAGAAACTTTTTATTACCAAAATCTAAAGTAGATTTTGTTTCGGATTCGTTGAAACTAGCTGGTGAACAACAAATAATAATCGTGGTTCTAGCATTGCCACCAAGAGATTCTTGTAAAATTCTAGTTAACTTTGAATCACGGTAAGGAATGTGAGTTTTATTTCCATCAGCTAAAGCTGAGATTACATTACCAAGAGCTGATAAAGATTTATTAATATTTTTTGCTTCATCCAACACAGTGCCTTCTGCTCCGGTTTTAGAAACCTAAAATATGATATAAACATAAAACTGTCTTTCCCCATACTATGGAAAAAAGAAAGAAAAAACATTAAGAAAATTTAATAGGATATATGTAAATCACCTTTTCTGAACCAGCCAAATCAACAAGATATAATTTTCCAGAAAGCTTCTTTTGGTTTTCTAAATTTTCCTGTTTCACATTTATTAAAAATACAGAATGAGAACGTGAGCTGTGCTCATTCATATTAGTCACAGCAATATGCCTGTTCGATTTTCCTTCTTCTATTACTTCAAACACTTCTTCAGGACTAGATACAAAACGTTCTGTTGCACCTTTTACAAACGGAACTCGATTTTTATCTTCATGTACACTTAAATTCACTTTGGATACTAAAAATAAATGAAGTTGTAAATAATAATTTTACATAAACAATTCGAATAAAATAAATAGCAAAGTTCTTACCATCAAGAAGATCTCTGATTTTATCCATATAGATTTCAAAATATGATACCTTGATATGGAATTCCAAATTTTCCTCCATACCATAAATATGATTGAAAATGTCATTAACGATTCTGGGAATAATACCTTGTTTATTTGGATCCCCAATAACACCTTCCATAGTGTGCGTTTTTCCTAATTTATGCATAAATATTTACCATATTAAAACTGTACTTGAATATTGGTAACTAATAACATATTATTTGATAAAAGATTTCATTTTACCTGAAGATGTTTGACCATATGCAAAAATAGTACCGTTGTATCCTGCCAACACATCTGTGACAATTGATCTAGCTGCTTCATTGTAAACTTTGTCTTGAGTAGCATTTGGTTTAAAGACTTTATCAAAAAGATATACTTTCCCCTAAAACAATATTGTAATATTAAATTAACAAATATATACATTGCTATGCAAAAGAGCCATATTTTGATAAACTTTAATTGTATAATTAAATTATTATTAAGCATAGAATGTTTGATCAATATTCTGAATAAAAATTGGCAAAGGAAAAAGAACTATTGAATGTTCAGTTACAATAGTCATAAGCAGAATATTCTTTTTCTTTTTCACAATAACTGTATGACTACTTTCTTTGGTTTATAGACTTTTAGATTAGAGATTTCAGCTAGTTTAAAGCTTTAGTTGAAGTTAATTTATATTATTAATAAGAAAAAAGTTTTAAGCATAACAGAGTTCTGAAATATGGCAGAGTGTTTTTATCAGGAGAAGAGGCTATTCTCTTTGTACGAGAAACTTCAAAGAAACTGAGAATTCTTTTCATACCCTGTGATACAAAATATTGCAGTTAAGGATGATTTCAAATACAAAAAAAAAAATAATACATACTTGAAAATCAATTTCTATAAATGATTGTTAAATACAATAAAAATACAAAAAAAAACTGCTATAATAGTAGAAATTAATAAATAATGATTTGGTTTTTGCAATATTTACTAACATAAGATTTAGGGAAATGAACTTCGAGCATGAATAACTGAAAAAATTTTTTCAAAATCGCAAAAAAACGTCTAGCAAAAGATTTTGATAAATCTAAACATTTTTAACATTAATCATTAGTTACCGGTATGATTTTGACACCAGCATTATGCGAAATTACAACAAAATCAACGTAGCATAAAAACTTCTGGTATTAAAATGATTTTGATACCATGGATTTATTACTGAGTATGATTTTCAAAATCAAAAGAATTATCGATATTAGTGGTTGGCTATTGATCATTCATTAGTTTCTATAAGATATAAAGGTACAATCAAAAAATACGGATATGATATCAGTACTTTATATTTCGATAGACATTTCTGGTTATTACAAAATGATATTACGAATAAATATAATTTTGAAGTTTTTAGATTTAACTGATGGATTTTTGTTTGCTACGAAGCAAATGAAATATTAAATAATAATTGAAGCATATACAGTAAGAATAAAAAAATGCTTTCTACGAAATACAAAAGCGTATTGAAAATTGAATCCAAAATAATGCAACGGGAAGTACGAATATTAAAACGATCATTGGTTGCACAAAGAGGTGTAAATTCTCGCTGCATTTATGATAATGATTTTACAGATTTGTCGATAGTAAACAAAAAGGGATGTAATATAAATATTAAATACAGCAGAAATAAATGTAATGGTGGAGTGGCCACCGCCTAACCTTAACCTTATTGAAAAACGGTAGGGAGTGTTAGGACAAGACGTATAAGATAAAAATATCTACAATTACGAAAAAAATGTGGAATACTATATATAAGAAAATAGAATAACAAAAAAAATTGTTTAAAAAAAAATAATTGCTATAATATCAAAATTAATAAACGCGATACTTAAGTCATATAGATGAGAAAAGTTTTTAATTATTCCTGGTTTTAGTAAAGTATCCAATTATTTTGTTATTGTACATATAGTCAATGATGTAAAATATGAAAATTATTTTAAATATTTTATTAACTCCAATCATTTTTTAAAATTTTTATTAAATTTCACTAATGTTCTGATTTTTGAATTCAAAAAAATGCTTGTCAGCTTTGATAATACTTCATTCTTATCTTATATTATACTTATATTTCATGAATTAGTGTCAAACACAAAGAGAATATTATGAAAAAAGTTATGTATTGTGTATGTATTTGTAAGTCCCTTTGAAGTATAAAAGAATATAGGAAAAAGGGGGACAATTGCACTCAATAAAGCTTTGTTTCAGAAACCTCTTGAGACAATGGCAATATCTTTTCTGAGCACCAAGATCAAAAGGTTCCTATATGAAATAGTACATTCATGTTATACTTATTTAAAATTATATGTGCTGAATCATTTCAAAGCATTTCAAATCACAATTGGAAGGACATTAAAAATATTATTGAGAATAATTTTAATTCTCATATACATATAATATACACATAATGTATATAATCATAAATCTATTTAACATCATTAATACAGAAATCATGCATAATCATAAAAATATTTTTTATCTTACATGAAGGAAATTATTCATATAAAAATAACAAGATCAGAGATCGTAAGAACGAAAGGGAAAAAGATAAAGAGAAAATTGAAAAATACTGATATTATCAGTTAGAAAAAGTCTAATCACTGAAATGATTTGATAATCTCTATGTTTATCTGTCCTTTTATAAAATACGAATTTATTTATTAGTAGAGCCGATAAAATCGTATCAAAGAAGTATAACATACATATTTTATAAGAAGCAAAAACGTAAAATCGTTCATTAAATCAAACGTTAAACTTGCATGATTGGCCTGATTGACAAATCTGAGCAGATAGCAATTATGAATTTTCAAATATAAATGCTGTCAAATTAACAATTGACTATCGTCGACGAATGAAAAAGAAGTTCGATCGTCAATAATTCCGTGCCATTCCGTTCCGAAATTGCAGTTTAATCGACAGCTTGAATAGATACGTCAACGCAAGGAGATCGTTTCAGCTCGACGGGGAAGCGAAATGAATAATCTCCATTTTCGCCGAAAATAACGAAAGTGAATCATCCGGTGTGTCGATTGAAAGATTCTTTCGGATTGGTGTTAAACGCACGGCATGCAGCTTGTAAATAGGATACGCTGGATATAGAGAAGGACCGAGAGAGAGCAGCTGTCAGCTGTGCATGATGACATCACACGTAAGCTGGACACGATTACACGAATAATAACTAAAAATGAGAATGACGTGTAAAATGTACGTACCCCTATAGAGATGCAGTTGTCCTCGCCGCCGGACGGGAATTTCACGATGAATTTCGAGCCAGCCTTTTCCTCGGAATCGTTCAAAGGTCGAAATCTACAGACTACCTTAATACTGTCCTCCGCGGCAATCTCACGCTCTCTCGGCGTCTCCATTGCCATATTTCGGTAGCTCGGATTTGTGACACAAGTTCCTTAATTATTCTGATTAGTCACGCTTAAAAATGATTTCTGATCTTTCGTAGGGTGCATAGGCAACGAGATGGTTGCGTGAACCGCATCAAGAACCACTACTGTCTTCTCTGTCACAAACCACAGCTCGTTTCGGAGCCAGTAAAGATGGCTGCCGTTGTCCGACGATTTTGCGGGTGGGTTGATTTGCGTGTGCAAAGGTGAGAATCAACGATCGTACTTATGCCAAACCGAAGATGGAACATGGACGATGTAGGTGTGACACGCGGCCGGTCCTCTTTTCTAACACATCACTACTACCCTATACTAAAGTCCACAAGTGATTTTTTTGATTATAACTTCTGGTTCTCGAAAAACCAATCGATGAGAAGTCTAGACAAAGTTTAACGCAAACGCGTCGAACTAAACGTGCGCGCGCGCCGTACGACTTGCCTGTTTGCGCACACGAAATAGCATTGTCGGCGGATATCATACGTTGTCAGGGCTGTAACCTGCGTGGGCGTCGATTCTTATTCCATTTTCCATTCAATTACTTTTTTTGGTTATTTCGTAGGACGTTAATATTCTTCTCTGGAAATTAGCACAGTTCGTCTATAACGTTTGTTTATCAATTCAGAGTGTATTAAACAATTAGTCACGATATTTGAAATTATTTTGTATAACTTCTTTTCTTAAATAATAAGAAAATTTTAATTCGCAAACTTTGATTTTGTTGACTAACGCTTTACGTTGTTCAATTTAAATCTAAGTTTGTAATATTTTTACAGGTAATATCTTTTAATCTAATTTTTTATTTTATTCGATAAAATAATTATAATTGCATTACGTATAACTTCTATCAAATTACTCTTAATAAAGAAATAACGTTTGGATTTAATATTTCGATATCGTTAAGTATCTGATCTTTCTACTAGATGGCAATTCATATTTGTATTCTTGATTAATGCGAAGTTCATTTAATTGTATTTAATAATCTAAAGTATAGAAAATTTAAATTTTGTTATTCGCAATTCATATTCTTTAATATCAGAATTCATAAATACAACTTGTAAAATGATAATGAAATATTTTGATAATGATATTGCGTCATGTGATGCGATATTAATGTTTATTAAAACAGAAAATAATATGTCTATTATACTGCAATATTACATTAAAATATTAAATGTTATTATCTAATGATAAATAAATAATAATAATTGCGTAATTTAAATTATTTTTGAGAACATTCTATCAACATACAATCGCAAACTTCTATTTAAAAACAAAAGAGAATATTTTCACATTGAGTACATAATTTAAAATTTGTATATAATAGAATATTATTATTAAAAATACATTTAAAATCTTGATTCTAATCTCTAATTGACTTTTTTTATACTTACCTACGGTACTGCCTTTCTTTACCCTCATTATTTTTGTTCTTACATCCTGTCGTGACCTTCATAACCTGACGTTTATTGATTCAAACAGATTTCGCACTATGCGTATGCATAGATTGCAACTTTTCTTATAGAATTTTTCTATGCATATATTTATTAAACGTTTCATGTTTTTACGAAAAAAAAGTTCAATATATATTTCAAAAAAAAATATCAAGTTGATTGTAGGTTGATTGAAAAAATTTTTTGACGTAATATAGAAAAATACATTTGTATTGTACCTATTACGCAATAATGAATGTACATACAAAAACTTCATCGATCAATTTTATGTATTAGAATTTTCTATGTAAATCATTAATTTCGCGTTATTTAGAAAACAAATTATTATATTTTTTAAATTAAAATACGAAAAGAAACAGTTGGTGTACGAGAATATTTCATACTTAATATGGAAGATAATTTTTTAATTTATTATTTTTAGGAAATGATATAAACCACCACGATTAAATTAATTTCGATCAGACGATATCGTTAAGTTTTTAATTTGTCTAAATATTCAGTTCTCACTTTTTTGTTTTTTACATGAAAAAGTTTGGAAGTTATAAGAAACAACAATATTTAATGTAACATAACAAAAGAGGCACATTTTATTTTCTTTAACAATAAAGTAAAGAATGCTCTCACACAGTCATGGTTCATTGTAAATGTTATGTGTAAATGTTATTTAATATTACAATGCCTATAAATTGCACAATATATACTAAATTTGCCATACTACATGACTAGTTTACAGATAATATAAGGTGCAAGTTATCTTTAACAATAACATAATATTAGTATTTCCATTTAATAAATATCGTTTCTATTATTACTACATTAATGTTATTATTGTTATTCATCGACGTTGTTACTACTATCATCACACAAAACCAAATAGTTTCTTAAACGAAATTTTTAAAATAATGTATAAAGAGGGCATTTATATTTTATATTTAATAATCGTTATTTATTTTGTCAATGTTTATTAGTATTTAATACTTCATTTTCAATTCTACTAGATAACAAATGATTTCATTAAATTTCTCTTGTATTTTTATTCTAATTTTGCATTAGAAGAAGTATAAATAAAATTATATTGTTATTTTTCACCTATTAAAGGAACCCGTATTTTGTATCTTATACATGTTTCTCTTTTTTTAAGATGAGGAACGATTAAACAATTAATAGATAAAAATTTTTTATACTAATGTCGCAAAAGCGAGATTAAAGTTCAAGAGGTAGAATAAATCTTGAAGTATAGGACTATCTACTTATGTCCACCAATTCTTCAAGTAATATAACAATTTTTAAATGTAGTTTTTTCTAAAATTAATTAAAAAAAATTAAATAAATGAAATTACAAACAATTTCCTACATATTAAATAAAATTTTCTAAAATTAAAAACATATGACCATTTATTATTCTTATTATTCTCACTGATTTTGTATTCTTCATACTATTGTATTATTTGTATTTTCCATCTCTATTATTTAACTGTTTCTCTGGACATTTTAAACATTCTTGATTAGTAATAAATATTTAAAATTTTTATTTAGCCTGAAAGTAAATTATATAAAACACATTGGAAGAATGTATATAAAATTTCTTAACGTCTTGGGAGAAGATATTCATAAAAAGTTTTTGTTTTATATTCTTTTTGCTTCAGTGTATAACAAAGTAAATTAATTATGGAAATATTAAATAAATTGACATGGAATGTCTGAAAATATTCAAAAAATAATTGCAAAATTGAATATTTAAAAATACAGACTAGAAATCAGTATCATACCTACAACCTATTATAGAATATATAATAAATTAGCTACAGTACATAAAATGCGACATTAATTTCTCAATTTTTGTATAAAATTTGTAAGGATATTTTTATAAAATATAAAGAAAAGAAGCTTTTATAGAAATTATGCTAAATAAGTCATCTACTTTTATATCAATTTCAAATACATTTTTTTTCTATACTATATCTACAATGTTTCCTTCAACAATATCTATAATCATTAAAGTTTAAACAGAATTGCATATTTTCATATCTAAATATTTTTTTGTAATGTATTAAATCCGTAATTTTTATACAAGAAATGTACTGCGCGAATAATTTCAATACAAATAGATTACAGCAATATGTATAGAATATTTAAAATTTCAAAATATGCGCAACTAATTTTGTTAAATATTTACATTTTGATACAGTTTTGATTGTAATGATCTTAAAAATCCAATCACGAGTTTCTGAATAGTAGAATATTACCAATATACCTTTAAATTTGCAATGACGCTTCATTTAATAAACATGAAGCTCTAGCTTCCTCATATCGTTATGTATTTGCTGTAATCATAGCAAATTGTTTTATTCTATTCCAAAAGTATTTGTTTCTTCTACGGCCAATAAAAGCTTTTCATATAAAATTTCGGGCGTAGGATATGGTGGAAGATCCAAGCGATTAAAGCATGTATGAGCCCTAAAAACATAACTACTTTGAAAAACACTATTAATAAACTTAAAAAATATCCATTTTGTAAACATCATAAAAATTATAATTGTTCCGTTAATTACACTAGTTTCAAAACAACAATTTTATACCTGGGTAAACTATTTGGCCTTCCCCATTTTTCAATGCAAAATTTCCGTGGTCCTGTAGATCCACGTAGAGCTGCAAATCCTTCGTATGGAATGCTTGATGTGCCAGTAACAAATTGTAGCAATCTCAATCGTTGTTCATTAGTAAATCGGCTTATACTGCTCCAAAACCATTCTACTACAGGATGAGCATCGTGATAACCACTTCTATATTCCGTATGTGTTCTCCAATCGTTAAGATCAATCTCTGCTGCTCCAGCTATTACTAATTCCAGCTCGCGTGCATCAAAAACTGATACTAATCGTGGATCTACAACTTCATAAAATCCACGAACTAAAGACTCCGTTTGTTCGGCAATGCCACGCTCAAGTCTCCAACGTACAACTCTTTCAAGATATTCTTTTTTATTTTTCTCTGTAACTGCAATATTTCTCCCTCCTGGTTTTAATTCACGCTCAGCTACTCGCCCCAGAAGTTCTTCCGTGACCGAAAAGGTTAATTCTAGCGGTTCAATACTTATATCTCTTTCTTTAATCCACATTAAACTTTGATGAAATTCTTGATCTAAACTCTCCAAATCGCTTAAACTTGCTGGTATTCTCAGAAGAGCCTTATAAAATGGTCTCGTAAAAAAGGCATCAAGAAGATATTGGTGAACTAAAGCTAAACCTAAAACTCTGCCTGAAAACCTGAACCAATCATGATAATTATCTACAAAGGCTGACATTGGCGACACTTGTACTGTGTAAGTGTCGTTAGCAGAATATTCAAATAATCCGTAATAAGGATTGAAAAGTTCGCGCGATAGATGAAAGAAAAATTCACGAGATGGGCCGCCATAATCTACACCTTCTTCCTCATCAAACATAATTACTAACTTGCTTTTCTGCAAATCTTTCTTCGAAGCAGCCATAATGCGAGTGAAAGCATCTTCCAAGAAATGTTCTCTTCTAATATGTAATCTAAGTAAAATATAGAAGATATGTAATATAATATATAAATTTTTATAATTTTTATATTAAGATACACATACTTTAATTTTCCTGGACCTTGCCCATATCCTTTACTTTCTAGCTTCCTATAAAATGTTCTAAGTTTAGCTTCAAAATCTCTTCTGTATGGAGCTGGAGCTCTAGCAGAAGCTCTTGTTAAGCCAGGTGAAGCATGCGGACTACCTAATGGAGATCTGCCCACGTTTCCAGGTACATATGACATAATTTCTTGTTCAAACAAGCTGCAATAATAAATTTAATATTTTAATGTTATTTTATCCTTTACTGCCTTCAGAAATAAAATGATTTTGTACCTTAATAATAATGCTAAAGGTACGTCATGTCCTAATCTTTGCAATGCAGTCGTGCCTTCAATTCGTATCGTATTTACTTTCTCTCGAAGAGCAATATTTTGTCCTAATGCCGAGTGTCTTTCTTTTAAGATATCCATTATATTTGGTTGACGCAGAAAAGCAACAACTTTGTCGTTATAAGCTACAGGTATATCAGGTGTGGTAGTAATAGCTGATTGTTGTGGTCGAGGTGGTGGTACAGGTGCTTCATCCAATAATGTTCGTGTGTGAGTTGGTTCAGTAGGTAATCTTGGATCAATGAAAGATGTTGCTTTTCTAGCATGACAAATGAAAAATCTCTGAAAATATAAACAATTTAAATGATGTTTGACTTCCAAAGAGATTTCTTTATCAATGAAAGCACTTTAAATAGTGATATATTTACTTTGCCTGTTCTATCAAGTTTTGATTCATAGCCTCTTGGAAGTTCTTTAGCTGGATCGGCAAAGAAATTTATTAAAGCAACCAAATCTCTATTATGTTCGTATCTCGGAAAAACTGCTGTATCTCTTCTAACTTTGCTAATCATGTGCTTCAAACTGGGATTACGATTATACAATTCCACTGCTTCCGCATGGCTATGTAATACTGTGAAGAAATCGGGTCTTGTTAAAAATAATACTGGAGGACTCGTATTAATGTCAAATGGTTCGCTTTCATTTCTTTCGAATCGTTCATTTGGTCGTTCAATATTCTCGAAATTATTTCCATTTGTATGTTGCGAACCAGATGGCTCGCGATCAATATTGTCAGGCCGAGAAATAGTTCGACGAACGCTTTGATAACGTCTATCTAATTGCTGCCTTCGAAGATCACAACCAGTATTTCGTGTTGTTAAAGTTGGCCTTTGCCAAGTTGTCGTTCGATTAACATGATCTATATAGAATACTCGACCATGACTATCAATTCTTGCTTCCCATGCTGTAATAATATATTCAATAAAATTTTTTTCTTTAATCAAATTAAAATAAATGATTAAAAATTATGGTAGATTTATCTTACATGGAGGCAAAGGTTCCTCAGAGGGTAATGGTACATTAGATGTTTGGCACATCGGTAATGGACGCAAAGGTTTTGGGCGATGTGTAGGTGTTGGTGGACACTCTAATGGATTCGTTAAACCAGATACTGGTCTTTCCAATGGTCTAGGTGGTCTAGGTGGTGAACTTAACAACGCTATACTTTTTGTAACAGCTCTTCGCGACTAAAATATTAGATTAAATACCTAGATATTTAATAATTCTATATAATTTAAAAAGGAAATTAATCATAATAATATAAATATAAAAAACTATAAAATCTTTAAATGAGACATCAATATTCGTAAAAGAACATTGAGTATAATATTCTTTATTCATAAAAAAATATTGAATAAAAGCTGTATTACATTATATGCTTACCAATCGATTGCAGTGCATACATTTCATTAAATTACCTTTGAATTAGAAGCTTCATCAACATCTACAATTTCAAATCCAAAACAATCTTCAGGGTGCAAGGGTGCAGAATATTTTTGAGGATGTCTTTTGGGTAATTCTGGTGGACCAGTTGGTAAAGCATTACTTCTGTGTAAAAGTTTGTGCGTTACCCGTGGTGGTAGTGGTGGAGGATTTGGATACAATGTTTCATATAAACCTTCAGGAAATGAAAAGCCTTCTGTACTTCGCCACAACTGATAATATTCCACACCTTCTTTTGTTACAATACCATTTGTATCACATGACCTCTGAAGTAAAATTTTATAAATTGCAATTTTAAAATAATTGTACTTTTTTGAAATATGTTTTATACTATAATTTAATTTATAAATTTGAAGGAGTGTAATATTAATCTATTAAGAATTTTAAAATAAAAATTGAATTATACATGCACATGTAAAAGTGCAAAGAAAATATACATATTTGCAAACATTCATGTGAGTTAAGGAAAAGTATAAAACATTAGATAAATAAATAACATTGAAAATAATAGTAAAAAGCTGAGTTACTTTAGTATCATAATAACAAATATTTATCAAATTTTAATACAGTTAAAAAATAACTGCACCTTCTTGGTCCCATTATGACCTAGAACTGCTTGCTGTGATTCTGTATCAGAATTACTTGCATCACTACTGTTTGAAGAACGAGGTTCTATTTCAATGCCTTGGGCTTCCTCCAAATGATTCTTCTTAGTTGAAGATGGTTCCAATAATGCTACAGCATTTTCTTCTAGCTCAGTTTGTTGAGCACTGGCAGTTTCAGATAAATTTTCTAAAATTGGCAGTTTAAATGGTTTTTTTGTAACATCATTACAATGAACTAACTCTGTCAAAGTGTTTTGTGATTTTGGCACACTTTTAGACATGTGTGAACTACCAGCTTCATTTAATCTGCTTAAATTTTCAGTTGTACTCTTATTATTATTTTCTATTAAATTTAATACTTTATGTGCATTAACAATGTCATTTCCATGTGTTTCGTTTATTGAAGTGCTCAAAAATTGTAATGGTTCATCAGAACTGCATGACGCTATACTTTGTAAAGGTAAACTACAAACATCTTTCATAGAATCTCTGTTGTGACTACTAAATTGAGAACTAAATTGTTGTTGTTCGTCATTATTGTTATGTTTGTCTCCTACATTTTGTTCACATTGTGATTCTGTGCTACTACTAGATTGTAAATCTTTACTAAAGAATTGTTTCTTTCTAATCATGTTTCTGGAAGATAAAGGCAATTGTTCCACAAAATTGGTTATCTTTCCAGGGGTACTATCTACACTTGCCAGAAAACACTTCTTTCTTGTTAAGTTTTTATGAGATAATGATAAATGCTTTTGACTTGAGTTTTGTGTAACATCATCGTTCAATTTGCTCGGAACATTAGTAGTATCAATTTCACAATCTGATGCTAATGCTGCTGCACCAGCAAACTTAGAAATTACATTTTCTTTGTTACATTTTGATTTAGAACATGCACTTAGTTCTTCAGAGGAGTTTGAAGGCTGAGTATTACTTGATTCATCAATTACTTCTTCATTAGAAGATGTTTTTTGTTGTTCTTGTAAACCATTTTCATTTGATGCACAGTTTACATCTGATGACAAAGAAGCATTCTCATCTTGTTCTATAAAATCATTTTTAATGCCAGATGTAAATACTTTTTTATTACTACTTCTTATGGTATTGGTTTCCACATGATTTACCGTAGCTGAAGATCCTTCATTTGCTGTGCCAACCATCAATGATGTAACAGATTCATCAGGTTCATTTTCTTCGTCATCTTTTTCAAAAGCTGTGTTTTTAACATTTATCTCAGATGGCATTTTTTAAAACATAATATCAATCAATTATATTTTTTTATAATTCTGTAAATAAAAATAGAATCAAATGTTAATAAAATAAATATGAATCAAATTATGAATAATTTTATCATACAATAAAACCATTGATGTAAAATTGAAGAAAGTATGTCAAATAAACTTGGGACTATACATTTCACACAATTTTTTGTGAAAAATTATATCAATTTTTAGCCTAATAATTTTATTCTAATAATTTTATCATGAATTCATAGATCACAACGACATTAAAAAAGAATTTGTTTGATCCAAAATATACATAATAAATATTTGAACGTATATGTATATCAATATACAGTACGACTGCCGCAAAGTATGTAATGTATCCCGTATTCGATATTTAAAATTTATATCATTCGAAATCATTATATAAAGTAAATTGAAAAAATTTGTTACAATTTCCGTTAATCACACGCAATGGGACAGTGAACAAGTTACGGTTCGTTTCTGTGATACCTTTAAAGGAAATAATTATTAATACTTGAAATTTTATACACACTGGTAATGTCAAATCATATTGAAATATTAACATATTGGTACTTTTTACCTGCATATGTTACATCATTTCAAGTATCTCAAATGAAAAACTTCAGTAAAAACATTTTACATCATATTTACATATTCTTACTCATTACACGAATTCATCAAAGAACGCGTTGCTTTGACAGAAAGATATAGCAGACTGTATCTGGTAACTTTTTGTAATATTATATATATCTGGTATTTTATATACGTCATGAATAGTAGGTGTACTTACCCTACTGGTTACTTGTTATATATAATTAAAAACTGTATTATTATTTCTTAGAGAATAGAAAAATCTTTTTTAATTCTTTTCCCTTTCAAAATAAATGATAATATTTAATTTTACATTGTACAGAGAATATATAATACATTTATGTATTTTGTTCTTGCAAAATAAAAACAATAATTAGAATTATTTGACTACATAATATCGAAAATGTAAATATTTTATCAGATAATTATCATTACAATGTAAATCGGGTAAATAAAAAATATACATAGTTTCTTTTTGCGTATCACAAATATAATATCACTAGACAAAAATATTTTATTAACCCTAGTTCAACATAACCTCTTTTATTTGGTGTGTAGCGAGAGACGGTATGTGGTCTTGTAGAAAATCTAAAAATTTAACAAGAATCGTTTATATTATATGAAATATACATGTAGTAGTTTAATATAAATAAATAAAGAGCGATTATATACATCATATTTTTAATAAAATAATTCATTGTCACAATTATATTACTAAAAAATGTGTGATAAAATGTGTTGTTATTAATTTACTCTTATAATCATATATCAATTAATTTACAATATATTTATAATTTTAGTTTATAAAAATGGCTATTCGACCAGTGTATAGACCTACAATTGTGAAAAAGAGGACGAAAAAGTTTATTCGTCACCAAAGTGATCGTTATAGTAAATTGAAGGTTTGTTATTTTCTTTATTGTTTATTAGTATTTATCAATATTAATTATTAATTCATAATAGTTAAAAATATAATGTAATAAATTACTAAATTAATTTTTTAGAGAAACTGGCGTAAACCTAAAGGTATTGATAATAGAGTTCGTAGGCGTTTTAAGGGACAATATTTGATGCCCAACATTGGTTATGGTAGCAACAAGAAAACTCGTCATATGCTACCAACAGGTTTCAGAAAAGTTTTAGTACACAATGTTAAGGTAAAAAAATTAGATTTTCATTCATACAATTATTATTGACAAAAGAGTACATATTTTTATACATTGAAATAGTTTGTTTTTATATATTAACCTATATGTATATATTGAAATTATTGTCATGTTGTTATTGTAGTTGTCATAATAATATTTATTTTCTTGGATTTTTAGGAATTAGAAGTCTTGATGATGCAAAATAGAAAATTCTGTGCTGAGATTGCTCATGGAGTAAGCAGTAAAAAACGTAAATCCATTGTTGAACGTGCTCAGCAACTTTCAATAAGAGTAACTAATGCCAGTGCAAGATTACGTTCTCAAGAAAATGAATAAGAACATATTCTTACTTGGTTTAATAATAAAATATTTAAAGTATGTTTGTTATTTTTCAAATTTTTTTTCCTGGTGCTTATTCCTTAATACTGTCATAGACAAAATATATCTTACAATTAGACATAGTCTGTCGTATAAGTGTGAAAATTCGTTGAAAGCTTCAATTTGTAATATTAAGTCCCTGAGGGAGATATTACTTCACATAAATAACATTAATTGGTGAGCAATTGAAATATTTCTTTTTAATATAATACATCATAAAAATGATTTATTAAAAATATTTAATATATTACAATACATTTAATATAAATAATTACATTAACCACAATGCATTTTTAAATATAAAATGCGATGATGTGTTTGATGTATATTGTTGAACATTTATGAAAAAATAAATTTGAGAAGTATTTGTCTTGTACTATATTTTCGTGTAAAATCTATAACAATAATGATACAATTATGGAAAATATTGTATAACAATTTTTCATAAAATGAAAGAGATTATCATTTATACGATTATTGTAAAATAATATGATAATCCAAAGTGCATTATTTTATTATATATAAATAATGCGCATTATTTAATTTGCTTAATGTATCCTCTATCTTTTAGGAGATCGTCCAATGCCTCTTGAGTATAATAAACAACAAAAGCAGTTGATGCAACAGCTTCAAATACAGCATAAACTGAAGGTTTTAGATTGTAGAAAAAAAGTGGTTGACCTCTTGACGCGAAATCTTTTATTAAAGTTTCAATTACTGTGGCTGCAGTGAAATCTGCTCCATAAATATGAGAACAATCGATTACAACTGGAGTTGCAACATTTCCAGTTCTTTGACTATATTTTGTTACTAAGTTTCGAACGTAATCAACAGATGGAAAAATTAAACACCGATCTGGAGTTAACATGAGATATCGAATACCATGTCGACTCTGTAACATAAAATGTATATATTTATCAATTTATGGATGATTAATAGATAATATTAAAAAAATAATACAATAAATATAATTAATTTTTTAAACAGATACTATATAAAATATCGTAATGAGTAAGTTATAAAATGAGAAATACTTACGGTAAGTTTCTCCACGGATATTTTTGGTCGTGCTGCATGGTACAAAATGAATAAAATATTTAATCCAATACCGCATAGAATTCCAATTTCTAATTGTAATAACAAACACGCAATGAATGTACCCAATCCGGGAATTAAATCTGATTCTATAAGAATGAAATATTAAAAGGCATTAATTTTTTGAAAACAGAAATTTCTTCATCGATTTGTATCTTAAATTGCGAATTTACTTTTAGTTCTCCACATTGGTTTTACAACTTTAACTTCAACCATAAATATTACTGCAGCTATAATAATTGCTGCTAATGTACTCCTTGGGATGTAACTGAAGTAGGGAGTGAGAAATAAAAGGGCTAATATTACTAAAGAACCTAAAACAAATGGCAATTGTGTAAAATCTATGTATATAAAAAGAAGTATGTTAATTATTAATTAATGACTAAATGAAACATTATAGTTTAAATAATTGGTAAATTACTATTTTACCAGTGTAAATGCCGCCCATTGGTGTTCTTACTCCAGAAGCATTGTTTACTGCGCTTCTGCTGAGAGATCCTGTACCAGGAAATGCCTGAACAAAAGAATTACCAATGTTTGATATTCCAATTGCTATTAGTTCTTGCGTTGCATCAACTGACTTTCCAGTTGCTGAAATAAAAATGAAACCTTTTACTTTTTGTTGCATATAATAAAACAATATTAATATTCTATATAAATTCATAATATATGAAAATAATGTTCTAACTTACAGAATGCTTTACAAATAGCAATGTCTTCCATCAACGAGATAAGTGGTAAAACAAGAATACCGCTTCCCAAATTTGAAATCATATCAATAAATGTTACTGTTGTATTGTCATCTTTAATGTAACTAAATGGTGGTAATTGTACATTTGGCATACCTTCTGGTATGTATCCTATGAAAAAGAAATTAATATGTTTAATAATAATGTGCACTTAACACGTGCTCGATAATATGTATTTACATAATCAACAATTGATGTTAATCCTAATTTATTGTATTCTTACCAACCAATTTGAAGGGTGGGTCTTCTCTAAAACTATATCCCAAAACACCGGACAATATTACTAAAAATGCATTTCGTGATGTACCAAATAACCATATAAATTTATTTAACACGCGATATTTTGTATTTTGTAATTCTTCTTCTTTAGGACCAATGTTATATGATGCTAGAAGCTATAAAAAAGAAATATAAAAAGTATTTATTATTATAAGTCACATATTTTACAATGCACTAACGTACATGGTATATTCTATATAATGTAATTATATATATATATATATATATATATATATATAGTAATAACATATGTCTATATAATGTAATATATATGTATGCAATTAATCCTTTCACAACATAGCGCAAGAGAAAGTCACGCAAGCCATCAAATATATTACTATAAATTCACACATCTTATAAATATCATCGTATATAACGCAATTATTGATATTTATTTTCCATAAAAAAATATGTATCAGAAATAATTAATTTTCAAGTCATTCATTCTTACATTATCAAAGGTTTAATAATTCTTCGATATGATCATATTATATGTACCCTGAGAAGTAAAAGAAGCGCGATACAAGTTACTCCAAGAGCAGCGTCCCAAGCTGAAGTTTCATGTATATGGCTGGCAAGGTTTTTCCATATTTCAACAAATTGCGAACCTTTTATAGAAATGCCAAGTATATCTTTTATTTGCGAAGTAATAATTATCAAAGCTACTGCGGACGTGAATCCAGAGCTGACTGGCCCAGATACGAAATCAATTAAAAATCCTGAAACATATTATTGAAGCAATATACATCTACTAAAAAGAATATTTATTTACTTTATCTGGAATATTTTTATTATGAATCGTAAGCAGATAAAAGATGTTATAGAGATATTTACCGAGACCAAATATACCCATTATCAGTTCTATCACTCCGGCCAAAAAGCAGAGGAATATCGCGTGTTCCAGTGGTGCATCCACATGTGAAACTGTTTGGTACGTTAGCAAAGATATGATGGCACTAGGTCCCACCGGTGTATCTTTACAAGATCCGAATATAACATAAATAAAGCAGCCTAAAAAGCTACCATACAGTCCATACTGTAAAGTACAAAGTTTCTCTTATTAACAGTTTTATTTTTACTTTATTTAATAATTTGCATACGCGGAGGAAATATCTCGCAAATGATCTTTATTTTATGATAAAATATTCTTTTTTTTTTTTTTTAATTACATTAACATTATAACAATCGATGAATCTACTGTAATGTCATGCGCTGGTGACTGATAACGTTATTGTAGCATCATGTGATTTTCAGCGATTAATGAAAGATTATTATTAAAAATACTGTCGGAAAGTGTATTATAAGTTTAAATATATGTCTTCATTTATATTCGACACATTTAGTAATTATATCTTCTGATTTTTTACAAAGTTCATAGTTACTAATTGTTCCTTTGTACATAGCAAAAAATCACATTTTGTAAATTCTTAATAGAACTTGTAAATAGCCGATATGTTATAATATTAATAGCAATAGAAATGACGAAGTCTTTAATTCAAGAAAATTAAGAAACACTAACTTGAGCTGGTAGACCTGCTACGTTAGCGTATGCTAACGATTGTGGTATAACAGTGAGACCCACTGTAACACCAGCAACAAGATCACCAACCGCATCCTGACTATTATATCTTGGTAACCAATTCAAGATTGGTATTCTTTTATATATGGTTTTCTTTGTACAAGCTGATCTACAACGTCGTCTCAACTGATATAACGTGGAATGTAGGAAATTATCCTTCTGTTGCAATTCGTAGTCAGATTCTTCTACCACTATAAAAGAAAGGATGAAGTGATATTATTGAATATAAACGACGCCAATTTTAGATTAAGAATCGTTTAGGATCATATTAAGCAATTGTTGAAATATATCCTACAATGTATGTGATAAGAGGAAATGGAGGATTTCAACTATTCAGTGGTTTTATATACAAATGATTGTATTAATAATGTTAAATGTGAATTAGTCATTTTAGTACTACGTGTGCTTACAGATAAAATCCGAAGAACCTTGTATTTCTTGGTGACTTTCATACGAATTATCTAGAATTTGAGAACTGTTTGAATGACCGAGATTCAAACTATCGCTGGACCCAATCAAACCATGATTCACATATACTGCGGGCCTATCGTCTTGGTTTGCATCTACCACACCGTTTGATCTGTTCATCCTGAAAATCCCAATATTTCACATACATTAGCAAAATTCTATCAAATAGTTCTACGTGATCTTAATTTTCATATAAAATTTACAAATCGCTAAAACGTCGTAACTTAGGATTTGGCCACGACTGCGATTATAAGCTCTTTGCAAGTGAGCTTATAATCGTTTTATTAGCATTAGATCTATTAATATAGAGTACATAAAATACAACATTGTAAACAAATAAACTAATATTGAATCTCACAGTGTTTTATTGTTAACTAATAGTATTTAAACTGTGCGTATGTTGATGCGTGAATACGAGTAAAAAAATAGGACTTAAGTAGAAATTTATTTCACTTTCTGAATATTATGCACATTATAAAAAGCACTTTAGATATTTCTTGTGTTATGTATATTATGTATATCTCCCATGCATACATGGCAATCCTAATTATAGAATGAAATAGAATATCAACTTCATTTCGATGTTGTTCAATTCCAGTTTAATTGAATATATCTATAGCATATGCTAGACACACGTAACATGATGTTAAATTGGGACAATATATTGTTTAACACTCATCAATGACATTCGTTCAATTAGACCTCGAAACTAACTGATTCGAATTAAACTCGGTATACGTGATTTTCTGCACGATGTTTTATGGGTTCTTATTGGACTTTATTTAGTTTAACGTAACGAATCGGTTAATACAACTTGAAATGTAAACAATAAGATGTATATATATTATACAACAAATACAATAAATATCTATATTGTACAACAAATATATATATATATATATATATATTACAAAACAAATTATTGTACAACAAGAAACGAATCAAGTTCAATGATGTAAGA